CTATTGAGATGATCATGTGGTTTTTATTCCTCGGTTTGTTGATGTGCTGTATCATGTTGATTGATTTGCGGATGTTGGACCATCCCTGTGTCCCTGGTATGAACCCCACTTGATCATGATATATGATCCTTTTGATGAATTGCTGAATTCTGGTTGCCAAAATTTTGTTGAGAATTTTTGCATCTATGTTCATCAGCGATATTGGCCTGTAGTTCTCCTTTTTCGTGCTGTCCTTGTCAGGCTTTAGTATCAGCGTGATGTTGGCCGCATAGAATGTGTTAGGAAGTGTTCCATCCTTCCTAATTTTTTGGAATAGCTTGAAAAGGATGGGTATTAAATCCTCTCTGAAAGTTTGGTAGAATTCCCCAGGAAAGCCATCTGGTCCTGGGGTTTTATTCTTTGGGATGCTTTTGCTTGCTGTTTCAATCTCTTTCCTTGTGATTGGTCTGTTCAAATTGTCTGCTTCTTCTTGACTAAGCTTTGGGAGATTGTAGGAGTCCAAGAATTTATCTATTTCCTCTAGGTTATCCATTTTGCTGGCATATAGTTTTTCATAGTATTCTCTTATAATCCGTTGTATTTCTGCAGTCTGTTGTTATTTCTCCTCTTTCATTTCTGATTTTGTTTATTTGAGCTTTCTCCATTTTTTTCTTTGTAAGTCTGGCTAGGGGTTTGTCAATTTTATTTATTTTCTCAAAGAACCAGCTCTTTCTTTCATTGATCCTTTCTACTGCCTTTTTTGTTTCAATAGCATTTATTTCTGCTGTGATTTTTATTATTTCTATCCTTCTGCTGACTTTGGGCTTTGTTTGTTCTTCTTTCTCTAATTCAGTTAGGTGTAGTTTAAGATTGCTTATTTGGGATTTTTCGTGTTTGTTAAGATGTGCCTGTATTGTGATGAATTTTCCTCTTTTCTTTTTTTTAAAAGATTTTATTTTTTTCTTTTTTCTCCCCAAAGCCCACTGGTACACAGTTGTGTATTCTTCGTTGTGGGTCCTTCTAGTTGTGGCATGTGGGACGCTGCCTCAGCGTGGTTTGATGAGCAGTGCCATGTCTGTGCCCAGGATTCAAACCAATGAAACACTGGGCCACCTGTAGCAGAGCGCGCAAACTTAACCACTTGGCCACAGGGCCAGCCCCTGAAATTTCCTCTTAATACGGATTTTGCTGTATCCCATATGAGTTGGTATGGCATGTTATCATTTTCATTTGTCTCCAGGTATTTTTTGATTTCTTCTTTAATTTCTTCAATGATCCATTGCTTGTTCAATAGCATATTGTTTAGTCTCCACATCCTTGTGCCTTTCTCAGCATTTTTCTTGTAATTAATTTCTAGCTTTATAGCATTATGATCAGAGAAGATGTTTGTTATTATTTCAATTTTTTTAAAATATGTAGAGGCTTGCCTTGTTTCCCAAAATATGGTCTATCCTTGAGAATGTTCCATGCGTGCTTGAGAAGAACGTGTATTCTGCTGTTTTTGGATGGAGTGTTCTATATATGTCTATTAAGTCCAACTGTTTTAGCTTTTTGTTTAGCTCCACTGTTTCTTTGTTGATTTTCTGTCTGGATGATCTGTCCATTGATGTGAGTGGGGTGTTGAGGTCCCCTACTATTATTGTGTTATTTTTGATGTCTTCTTTTAGGTTTGTTAATAGTTGCTTTATGAACTTTGGTTCTCCTCTGTTGGGTACATAGATATTTATAAGCATTATTTCTTCTTGATGAAGTGTCCCTTTGATCATTATATATTGGCCCTCTATGTCTCTCTTTACCTGCCTTATCTTGAAGTGTGTTTTGTCTGATATAAGTATTGCGACACCTGCTTTCTTTTGTTTGCTATTAGCTTGGAGAATTGTCTTCCACCCCTTCACTCTGAGCCTGTGTTTGTCCTTGGAGCTGAGGTGTGTTTCCTGGAGGCAACAAATTGTTGGATCTTGTTCTTTAATCCATTTTGCCACTCTGTGTCTTTTTATTGGAGAGTTCAATCCATTTACCTTGAGGGTGAGTGTTGATGCATGTGGGCTTAATGCTGTCATTCTGTCACTCGTTTTCCAGTTTTCCTGTGTTTCCTTTGTTTCTCGTCCTGTGTGTTTTAGCCTACCCATTGACTTCTGCAGTTTCTTATGCTGAGTTTCGTAGATTTTTCCTTATTTATGTTTTGTGTCTCTGTTCTGTTTTTTAGTTTAGTGGCTACCCGAAGTTTGTATTTAGAATCTCGTGTATAACATAGTCCATTTTCTGGTGGTCTCTTACTTCCTTAGCCTAGACTGTTTCAGTCCCTTTCCTCCTCCCCTCCTAAATTATTATTTTCATCTCTTATTCCAACTTGTGTTGTGAGTTTGTGATTAGAGTGATAAGATTGTCTTTGCTTTGGTGATTTCCTTCCCTTTATCCTAATGCTATAGTTGAATATTTGCTGTCCTATTCAGATTCTATTTGTCTCCCTACTCTGTGTTTTGTGACCCCTTTCTCCCTTTTTCTCTTTTTTCAGGTATGAGAGCCTTCTTGAGGATTTCTTGTAGTGGAGGTCTTGTGACTATGAAGTCCCTTAGCTTTTGTTTGTCTGGAAAAGATTTAATTTCTCCCTCATATCTGAAGGATATTTTTGCTGAATAGAGTACTCTTGGCTGAAGATTTTTATCCTTTCAGGTTTTGAATATGTCACTCCAATCTCTCCCAGCTTGTAAGGTTTCTGTAGAGAAATCTGCTGAAAGTCTGATAGGGGTTCCTTTGTAGGTTATTTTCTTCTGCCTGGCTGCCCTGAGTATTCTTTCTTTGTCATTCATTTTTGCCATTTTTACTACTATGTGCCTTGCAGTAGTCTTTTTACATTGACAAATCTAGGAGATCTGAAAGCTTCCTCCACACACATTTCTCTCTCAATCCCTAGATTTGGGAAGTTCTCTTCTATTATTTCGTTGAGCACACTTTCTGCTCCATTTTCCTTTTCTACGCCCTCAGGAATTCTGATGATTCTTAAGTTGCATTTTCTCATTGAGTCAGCTATTTCTCAGAGATTTTCTTCAGTTTTTTAAAATTCTTAGTTCTCTTTATTCCTCTGTCTGGAGCCGTCTATCTTCGATTATGCTAATTTGCTCCTCTATGGTGTCCACACGGGTATTCATGGAATCCGTATTCTGTTTTATCTGATCCATTGTATTTTTCATCTCTAGTATTTCTGATTGATTCTTCTTTATAGTTTCTATCTCTTTTGTGAAGTAACTCCAGAACTTGTTGACTTGTTTCTCCATATTTCCCTTTACCTCATTGAGTATTTTGAACTCATTTTCACTTAGTTTACCCATTTCCACTTCCTCAGGACCTACTTCTGTATTTTTATTGTTTTCCTTTTGGACTGGAGCTTTTGTAAATTGCTGGATGGTAGAGGAGCGGTTTTTGTGCATGATGGTGGTATTTGGCAGCAGTTACAGCCTGTCACCACTAGATGGGTGTTGAGAGGCTTGTTTTCTGAGCCCTGCACCTTCAGCCACGATGGCCCTGCACACCGCGGGTTGGGCGAGGAGGGGCACTTTCTCTTGCACACTGACCTGGATTGGATCAGCTCTAGCTCTCTGGTCTCCCGGGGCCCAGGCTTGCTGGGGTTCCCCCACGCGAAAGCTTTCCCCCGTTAGCGGTTTTCGCTGCTCAGGCGGTGGGAGTCCTGCACGATCCCGTGGATGCGCAGCCCCTCCCCAGCTCATTCCCGCCCCCACGGCAGCGATCCCAGTCTCTAGGGGAGGGAGCGAAGTTCTCTCCTACCCCGTTCCAGCTCCTCCGAGGGCGGCTCCAGCCTCTCCGACCTCTGTCATTTGGTTGCTGTGGGTCTCCGACGATTTCTGTTATTAGGATTTTTTTTTTGGTTAGAAAGCAGTTGCTCTTTTTGGTTGTAATTTGGAGGGGAGAGAGTCCCAGGTGAGCTCACGCCGCCCTGTTGCTGACATCCAGGTTGGATTTTCACACTCCAAGCCAACCTGGGGGTGATTGGCTCCCAAAGGCCCCTTGTGCCCTCTCTTAGCCAGCCACCACAAGGGCAGTCACTGTCCTGATTTCTAATAGCAGAGCTTAATTTCTTCTGTTCCCTTTCTAATTTCCTGTAATTGGAATAACAAATTTGTCCTCTTTTATGTCTTTCACTCAACATAATGTTTGTGAGATTCATCTATACAGCCACGTGCGACACAAATGACATTTTGGTCACCAATGGACCGCATAGACCATGGTGGTCCTGTCGGATCAGCACCACACAGCCTAGGTGTGCAGTAGGCTGTACTGTCTGGGCTTGGGTAAAATGATGTTCGCATAACAACAAGATCGCCTAACGTGTTTCTCAGAACGTGTCCCTGTCGTTAAGTGACACCTGAGTGTATGGGTGAGCTCATTCTCATTGTTATGTTGCCTGGGATTCATTGCTCTATACGTTAGTCAATATTTCTATTGACATTTATTTATACTGATATGGTGATTAATATACAGTTGACTTATCCATCTCCTGTTAATGGGCGTTTGGATGGTTTCGGGTTTGGGGTGAGTATAAACACCTGGACGTCTTGAATGTATTCGTCAGGGTGGAATTGATGAGTTGCCTTCGAGACACTGACAGTTTCCCCAAGCAGTCTGGATGCATCCGTCTTTTTAATTTTAGCCACTCTTGTGGATCTGGGCAATATTTCTCATGGCTGGATAGCATACGGCTGTGTGCATGTTTGACTGATTAATTTAAGCCACCTCCTGTTGAGAAGCGTTCGGGTGGTTTTTGTTTTTGACCCTTCTAAGCCATACAGTGATGAACATCCTCCAACACTCTTCCTGGTGCGCTTGTAAATGATGCCCGAGCGATCACCTTTTTGGTTATTCCCAGTTGTTTTGTTTTTATGTACAAAGTAACACTGGAATAAATTTCCTCGTACAATCATCTTTGTGAATTTAAAAGTTTTTGTTTTGAGATTTTAGAGTTTTTTTGCTTTTAACATCTCTTCTCATGTTCGTCTTGAGGACAGAGCCAGCCCTGGGCAGTGTTGCTGCACATTGCATGGGATGAAGGGCTGAAAGCTGCTTCCTCTTGCAAGCTGGCTTCTGAGATTGCACCTTCTTCTCCTGCACCTCCTCCAACTCTATGACCCTCCAAGGTATGAAGATATCTGGGCAAAGGGTCTGGCTGGTCCAGCCAGAAAGGGGGGACTTGTGCCAAACAAGTGTGTTATGCTCCAGGTTATGCCTCAGCACTGCTTGACAGCATCCCAACTCTCTCTGCACCAGGGTATTTCTGAAAGCCACGTTCATCCCCTCATTTTTCCCTCTGCCCATATTCCCATCTGTCATTGATCTATCCATCATCTATCAGTCACCCACCATCCATTCCCCCATCCAGCCAGCCATTCATCAGTCCACCTCCTATTCATCGATCTCTTCACCAGTTCCTCCAGGTCTTTTCATTTATACAGCCATTACCTGCTCAGATTTCATCCATCCACCATCTACCCACCCACTCATCTATCCCTCCATCCATTCCTCCCTCCTTCCGTCTATCCACTTATCCCTCCACCCACCCATCCTTCCAATCCTCCTTGCCTCCCTGCCTCCCATCACCTTTCCACTCACTCATCCACCCATCTATTTACCCACTCATCTATCTATCCATCCATCCATCTATCCATTTATCCCTCAACTTACCCACCCACTCACCCATTCATTTATCTATTTACCCACTCATCCATCCATCCATCCATCCATGTGCCCGTTTCCTTATTTATTGATCTGCTCATCAATTCATTAACATCACTCATCCACTCTTCCATCCAACCAAGCCTTCATCCATCCCTCCAGCCCATCCACCATTCATTCACCCACTGATTTATCCATTCAGTATCTAGCCATGCATCCATCTATCCATCCAATCTCCAATCCACTCACCCACTCCTTGACTAATCAAGGTAGCCACTTACCCAACACTCACCCATTCACAGCCTGGAGCCAGGCCCTGTGACTGAGATGGGGATGCAGAAATGACTCAGACCTGGTTCCTGCCCTCTAGGAATTCACAGTCAATGGGGAGAGGCAAATAACAACACATACACACAGACACACACAAACAGGAAATTTCCGAAATGGTGTGATCAGTGCTGTGCTCTAGTATGTCCAGATACAGCGGAAGTTTGAGAAGCAGGTCGGTGGTCAGGCATTCAGATGAGATGTGTGCTGCGTGCCAGTGCTGCGGTAGCCACAGGATAGGGAGGGAGATATGGCTCTCTGGGCAGGTGGCTGGGAGAGAGAGAGCCTGCAAAGGAGAGGGGGAAGATTGCAAAGTGCCAGGAACACGGGGTGAGTGCCCGCCCCAGCCAGACACCTCTTGTGTGCATGACTACACTCACTGACCCCCCGTTGCTGCCCCCAGGCACTGCTGACCTGCCTAGGAACCGAGACAATGCAGCAAGCAACACAGTTACAGTTGTCACCCAATGGGCAGAGCTGTTACCAGCTCCAGCTCGTCCCCAGTCTCCAAGACAAAGCAGGGACATCATATCCACAGCCCCAGCAGGAGCTGCCTTTGTCCAGGAAGACCCTTCTGCCACAGCTGGACAAGGACAAGACGGCGCCTCACCGTATGCCACGCCTCCGGGCTGTGGTTGAGAGCCAGGCCTTCAAGAATGTCCTGGTGGATGAGATGGACATGATGCTGTCCCGCGCAGCCACCCTCATCCAAGCCAACTGGAGAGGCTACCGGCTCCGGCAGAAGCTGATCTCCCAGATGACGGCAGCGAAGGCCATCCAGGAGGCCTGGCGACGCTTCAGCACCAGGCGCCTCCTCCGGTCCGGCAAGATGGTGGAGAAAAAAGTTAACCTGGAGGAAGGGGACATCCCTTACCACCCCCCACAGCAGGTGCGCTTCCAGCCCCTGGAGGAGGCCAAGTCCCTCCCGGCCCAGCCCGTTATGGTGAGCAGGGAGACTCAGTTCCCTTCCTCCGACAGCCTGGCTGCCTGCGCCCACCAGCTGGCCCTGCTGCAGTCCCAGGGCACTCCACAGCCTGACGTGCAGGCTCCTGGTGTTACGGGTGGCCCAGGGATCACCTTCCTGCCACAGCAAACCATCACCATCAGGCTTCCATGTCCAGTGAGTCCAGATGCAAAGAGCCAGCCATGCTTGATGACAAGAACCGTCAGAAGCACCTGCCTCGTCCACCACGTAGAAGGGGACATGATGAAGACCAAGCAAGTAATTTCCAGAGCTAATAAGGCAGGAGCCTCGGGGCCACCGTTCGGAAAGTGTGCCCAGGCAGCTCATGGGCCTCTCAAGACCCAGCCTCAGGCCCCCGCAGAAGCAGAGGTCCTCAGAGCCCCAGCGCAGAGAGGCCCAGTGCCTGTGACGACCAAGACCCCACCCCAGCCGTGTCCAGCAGCTACGATGACCAAGACCCCACCCCAGCCGTGTCCAGCAGCTACGATGACCAAGACCCCACCCCAGCCGTGTCCAGCAGCTGCGATGACCAAGACCCCACCCCAGCCGTGTCCAGCAGCTACGATGACCAAGACCCCACCCCAGCCGTTTCCAGCAGCTACGATGACCAAGACCCCACCCCAGCCGTGTCCAGCAGCTGCGATGACCAAGACCCCACCTCAGCCATGCAGAGTGCCCACGGTAACAATAACCAAGACCCCACCCCAGATGTACCTGGCGGCCCCGATGACAAAGACCCCGCCCCAGACGTACCCAGCAGCCCCGTTGACCAAGACCCCACCCCAGATGAGCCCGGCAGCCACGATGACCAAGACTCCACCCCAGATAAGCCCGGCAGCCACAATGACCAAGACCCCACTCCAGTCGTGCCTGGCGGCCATGATTAACAAGACCCTACTGCAGATGTACCCAGCAGCCATGATGACCAAGACCTCACCCCAGCCATGCCCAGTACCCACGGTAACAATAACCAAGACCCCAACTCAGGTGTATCCAGTGGCCCCAATGACCAAGACCCCACCCCAGACATATCCACGAGGCGTGATGACCAAGATCCCACCCCAGCCTGGTCCGGCTGCTCCGATGACCAAGATTCCAGCCCAGATGCAACCAACAGCCTCAATGACCAACACTTCACCCCAGACACGACCGGTCGCTATGATGACCAAGACCCCGCCCCAGACGTGCCCCATGGCCTCAATGATTAAGCCCCCAACCCAGACACGACCAGCAGCCATGATAACCAAGACCCCGCCCCAGATGTACCCCATGGACACAATGACCAAGACCGCACTGCAGACGTGTCCAGCGGTGGCCAAGACTCCATCTCAGATGCTCTCGGGAGCCGCAGTGACCAAGACACCTCCCCAGACGCGCCTGACAGCCATGATAACCAAGACCCCAGCCCAGTTACGCTCGGTGGCCGCCATCCTCAAGACCTTGTGTCTGCCCCCTCCGGCAGCTCCACCTCCAGCAGGAGTGGCAGCTGCCATTCCCAACACCTCATCCCACGCATCTCTGGATGGAGCAAAGGCCAGGGCTGTGGCAAACACACGGCAGGCGGCGGGCATGGTCAAGGTCTCGTCCCACTCGTACTTGACTGAGGGAAAGGTGAAATGCTTCCCCCCACCTGCCCTGGGGGCTGTGGCTCCCAAGGCTCCAGCCAGGCCTCCTCTGGAAGCCGAGAAGATTAAGGCCTTCCCCCAGAAACAGGGGAAAACGGAAACAGCACGTAACACAAGTGCGGCCGCGGAAATGCCCAGGGCTCCCTCCTGGGCCAAGGTGGCCGAGGATGGGAGCAAGGCACACCTGAGGATGGACATCAGGAAGGTCCAGTCCCAGGTGTATGTGCCTGTAGAAATGGCCGTGGCCCTGCCGCAGGCACAGGTGGCCACACGTGTGAGCACAGCCTCGTGCCAGACGTACCCGCCTGCCAAGCTGACCAAGGCCCAGTCTCTGGCGCACCTGGACACCTGTCTGACCAAGGTGCAGGCCCAGGCGCGTCCGGCCAACGGGGCCGTCAAGGTCCAGTCCCAAGTGCATCTGCCCGCGGGGCTGAGCACGGCCCCGTCGCAGGCCCAGATGGTCTCGGAAACGGCCAAATGCTTCTACGCGGCCCACCAGCCTGCTGAGCTCAGCAGCAAGACGCAATCGCAGCCACTCCTGGCGGGGTTCAAGGCCTCCACCCAGCCCTGCCAGCATGTCGGCACCCTTGGCACTCTGCCCAGAGCCAAGCTAGAGGACAGACTGACCCAGCTCCCGCCCCACAGCTGCGCCCAGGGCAAGGCCACCCAGGGCCCACGCCAGGGGGCCTTCGAGACCCAGAGCTTGCCAGTGCCTCTGCTGGCATCTGCCGGACACTCCACGTGCAACGTTGAATCCTGGGGTGACAGCGTGGCCGCCCGGGCCCAGCCATCACTGGCCAGCCCGGCCATACCCTGCCAGGAGGAGCTAGCAGCCTCCCAGCTTGCCTCTCTGTGCGCTGAGCTGGCCGCCCTGCTGGGCTCCCAGGAAGACATCCGTGCCCTGCTGGCCCGAGCGCTCTCCCAGGGGGAAGCGAGGGCAGCCCTGAATCAGGCCCTGTCCAGCGATGTCCTGGGCTCCACGGTGGCCAAGGCCCTGTCCCCAGGCATGCTGGGCACGGCGCTGGTGAAGGTGCTGTCCTGGAGCAAGCTGGACATCGCCCTGTCCCACACCATGTCCTGGGGTGAACTTCAGGCAAAACTCACTAAGGCCACGCAGGGCAAACTGGTGGATGTGCTCAGCAAGGCCCTGACGGAGGAGGAGCACGCCGCCCTGAGCCAGGCCCTGTGCCAGGGCGAGCTGGGTGCCATCCTGAGCCAGCCTTTGTCTCAGGCGGCCCTGAGGACTGGAGCCGGCCTCCCCAAGGCGGCCACAAAAATGATGAGAAGCGGGATGACTGTGATGCCCTCCCCGATGGAGGTGGACCGGAGGGAGAGCCCAGTGGCCACATGCGGGCCCATCCTCAGCCCTGGGAGACCACAGCCCAGCAAGGTCAGGGTTCTCTCGGCCGGGGTCTGGGAGGGCTTTGTCACAGGCTGGCCCACCAGGCTCTTGGAGGGGATGGGGGATGGGGCCGGGATCATGGGGTCACCCTGCTCATCGGTGGTCTCTGTGGGAGCCTCCCTCACCAGGTGGGTGATCACCACCATTTATCAGCATCCCCTGGCCGCTGCCCTGGACCCCACTCTGTCACGGGAGATGGGGCCCAGCAGGGACTCCTCTTTACAGCTATATCTGAACCTGGAGGTCAGTGAGGAAAATGTGTGCCCTCACCCAGTGGTCCTTGAATTGGCATCAGATCTCAACCCAGTGGCGAATGACACGGGCCCCAATTTGCCCAGGTCACCCCACCTGCAGCCTCCCCCTAGTGTGTGGCAGCCGCTCATTGCCAATGGCGTGGGCCCGAGCACCAGCCAGCCATCAGTGGCCAGTGGCACAGCCCTGAGCTCCCACAATCCACACGTGGTCAGCAGGGTGGCCTCACGCCCGTGGACGTCGTCGGGGCAGGGCAGGGTGGCCCCGGGCCAGTTTCTCAGCACTGTGGGTAATGGGAGGGCCAACCAGTCTCACCAGTGTGCCACTGCCCATGGGGGTTCTGCTTGTTGGTGTCAGTCCTCTGGGGTCGGCAGGGTGCCCCCCAGTGTGTATCGACCCTCAATGGCCAAAGGTCCACAACAGCCATCCATGGTCCCTGAGGAGGATATGCAGAGGACTCAGTCCCCAAATCATAAACGGGCCTCCCTGGGCACTAGGGATGTGATCAACAAGGTGACCTCAAGTCCACAGAGGGCTGCCACGGTGAGCAAAGTGTCCTCAACCCAACCACGGACCCACAAGGCCTGTGACGTAATCCCACTTCTCCTGCCTGGTTCCGTGGCTCCTGCTCGCCGCCAGGCACCCAAGACTCAGGCAGATGCCAGTCCATCCCAAGCCTCCCCAGGCAGTCCGTTGGCCTCCCACCTTCTCCATATGGCCACCTCTGGGCAGGAGAGGAATCGAATGCAGGCTACCGTTTCCAGCATGCACTGCCCACAGGGGCTGCTGATGGGCCCCACACTCAGGAAACTGGTGGCCAGTTTGCCACAGGGTTCAGATGATGACTTGGCCAGAAGCTTCTCCCAAGGCTCCACGGACTACAGCCCAAACATGAGTGACTCCCAGAGCTCACTGTGTACCTGCAGCTTGCACAGCATGTCCGCCAGCTCCGTGGCCAGCCTGACCTCTGTCCACCTGGTGGAAGAGGAGTCCTGGGAGGCCAGCTCGCACAAGGACCTCCTTCTAGATGGTTCCCTCTCTGGGGAGGCCATGGAAAGGCCCCTGGAGCTTGAGGATGTGGAAGAGACCGAGATAGTGGGCCATAGGCACATGATCCCAAACCTCCACCAACAGTCCCCCGCAGCCTCAGAGCCGACCCCCACTCTGTACCACAGCTCAGTGTCCAGTCACATGACCTTGGGTGTCCACTGGGGCTCAGATGGTCAAGATGACAGGGATATGTCCTTAGGCCAAAGCTCCATGGGTCCGAAAGAGAGCTTGTCCCAGAAACCCGACAGGACAGAGCTGACAAGAAGTCTGTCTTCAGGTAATGTGGTCCCTACCATTTATCAGCAGCCATCTGTGGCCAGGAGGTTGACTCCAAGCCTATTGCAGCCATCAGTAGCAAGTAAGGTGGCCCCAACCCCAGGCCAGCCTTCTCTGGCCAGTGGGGTCACCCTCAGCCTATCCAATTCATCTAAGGCCAATGGGGTGGCCCCCACCCTAGGCCGGACATCTATAACCAGTAGGGCGGCCCCCAGCCTAGGCCAGCCATCTCGAACTAGTGGAGTGGCCCCCACACTAGGCCGGACATCTATGATCAGTGGGGTGGCCCCCAGACTAGCCCAGCCATCAGTGACCAGTGGGGTGGCCCCCAGCCTAGGCCGGACATCGATGACCAGTGGGGTGGTCCCCAGACTAGCCCAGCCATCGATGACCAGCAGCGTGGCCCCCAGCCTAGGCCGGACATCTATGACCAGTGGGGTGGCCCCCAGACTAGCCCAGGCATCAGTGACCAGTGGGGTGGCCTCTAGACTAGCCCAGCCATCAGTGACCAGTGGGGTGGCCCTCAGCCTAGGCCGGACATCTATGACCAGTGGGGTGGCCCCTAGACTAGCCCAGCCATCAGTGACCAGTGGGGTGGCCCCCAGCCTAGCCCAGCCATCGATGACGTGTGGGGTGGCCCCCAGACTAGCCCAGCCATCAGTGACCAGTGGGGTGGCCCCCACACTAGGCCGGACATCTATGACCAGTGGGGTGGCCCCCAGCCTAGCCCAGCCATCAGTGACCAGTGGGGTGGCCCCCAGCCTCGCCCAGCCATCAGTGACCAGTGGGGTGGCCCCCAGCCTAGCCCAGCCATCAGTGACCGGTGGGGTGGCCCCCAGCCTAGCCCAGCCATCAGTGACCAGTGGGGTGGCCCCCAGACTAGCCCAGCCATCAGTGACCAGTGGGGTGGCCCCCAGCCTAGCCCAGCCATCAGTGACCAGTGGGGTGGCCCCCAGCCTAGCCCAGCCATCAGTGACCAGTGGGGTGGCCCCCAGACTAGCCCAGCCATCAGTGACCAGTGGGGTGGCCCCCAGCCTAGCCCAGCCATCAGTGACCAGTGGGGTGGCCCCCAGCCTCGCCCAGCCATCAGTGACCAGTGGGGTGGCCCCCACACTAGGCCGGACATCTATGACCAGTGGGGTGGCCCCCACACTAGGCCGGACATCTATGACCAGTGGGTTGGCCCCCAGACTAGCCCAGCCATCAGTGACCAGTGGGGTGGCCCCCAGCCTAGCCCAGCCATCAGTGACCAGTGGGGTGGCCCCCAGAGTAGCCCAGCTATTGATGACCTGTGGGGCGGCCCCTAGCCTAGCCCAGCCATTGATGACCTGTGGGGTGGCCCCCAGCCTAGCCCAGCCATCAGTGACCAGTGAGGTGGCCCCCAGCCTAGCCCAGCCATTGATGACGTGTGGGGTGGCCCCCAGACTAGCCCAGCCATCAGTGACCAGTGGGGTGGCCCCCAGCCTCGCCCAGCCATCAGTGACCAGTGGGGTGGCCCCCAGACTAGCCCAGCCATCAGTGACCAGTGGGGTGGCCCCCAGCCTCGCCCAGCCATCAGTGACCAGTGGGGTGGCCCCCAGCCTCGCCCAGCCATCAGTGACCAGTGGGGTGGCCCCCAGACTAGGCCAGCCATCAGTGGCCACTTTATTGGCCTTCAGAGGACCCCAGCCCCCTGTGATCAGTGGTAAGGGTGGTGCACTCAGCCAGCCAAGCTGGGCCCCTGGGGTGAGTTCAAATGCACTGTCATCAAGGGTGAACACAGTGGCCCCTAGTCCGTGTCACTCATCATTTGTGAGTGAAGTCACCTCAAGTGCACCGTATCCGTGTGTGACTAGCAGCATGGGCCAGGCTCTGAGCCAGCCCTTTGTGGCCCCTGGGCTGGGCCCATGTCAAGATCCTCTGACGGCAAGGGGGGAAGCCCCACACCTCTGGGCCCCTGAGTTCTGCGAGGTGTCCCTGGGTTTCTGTCAGCCCCTTAGTGTCGGTGGGAGGTGCCCAACTGTAACTGAGCATCCCTCTGCCGCTCCTTCCACCCCAGTTCTCCACCAGGCATGCATGGCCCGCGGAGAGGACTCAGATTCGGGCCAGGCAAGCAGTGTGTGTCAGGGCATTGTGTTCAGGGACATGGCTGCATGCATACCCCAGGGTGCTGTGGCTGCTGGCATGTTCCCCAGGATGGCTCCAGGGACCTTGGCTGCTGGCATGTTCCTAAGTGTGTCTCAGGGACCTATGTGTCCTGGCATGACAGGGAGCATGTGCCAGAGAAGGGTGATGACTGGAATGAGCCCAGACCAATCTCAGGTGGCCAGTGGCACGGCTCCCATGGCAGCCCCGGCCGCTGTGGCAGATGCCCCTTTGGGTCATGAACAAGCCTCAGAGGTGGGCCCTGGCTGCTCCCTGGCTTCATTGCTCTGCGGACTGGCTATGAGTCCATCCAAGTCCCTGGCCAGCGGGGGCCCCGGCACGTCTCAGGGCCATGTCGATCTTCCAACATCTTTGGACCACCAGTGCCCTCCTGTACCCACAGTCGCTGCATCTGGTTACCAACAAGTATATGATTTCAGCTGGGAGCCTGGGATGGGCATAGCCAGTGGGCTGGCGCCATGTTCTGTAGCCAGTAGGATGACCACAGCTGTGACCCTAGGAACGGTGGTCAGTGGTGTGGCCCCCAGCCTTCTACCAGGTTATACGGTCAATGGTGTGGTTCAGCCCCTTCCTCCAGGGGCCATGGTCAGTGGCATGATCAGGACCCTGCCTCTGGGTTCTGTGGCGAGTGGGGCGTCCCCTAGTCTGAGTGTAGCACCTGAGGCTGGTGGGAAGAGGCGAGATCTCCCTGGAGGACCCTCTGCCAGTCTGACTGCTCTCAGCCTGCCCCAAGGCTCTGAGGCAAGTGCCCCTCCAGGTTCTGTGGCCTCTAGTGCAGTCCCAGCATCCATGGTTGGGGGGCTGAATCAGGGCCTGGCTCTGGGGCCCATGGCTAGTGCAGCTTGTCTGCCCTCCGCGGCTGGAAGCATGGCCCCGAGCCTTCTGCAGGGCTCCATGCTCGTGGAGACCACCCCCCAGCTGTACCAGGAAGCCCTGGCTGGGGAGGGCTCTACAGTCCCCTTCCAGGCATCCCACGCCACTAGCCTGGCTCAAGTTCATCCCCAGGCCTCGGAAGCTGGTGGCCCAGCCAGGGGAGTGCACCAGGTGCCCACGGTTCTGCAAAGAGCCTCACAGTTGCACCAGGCTCTTGGGGTGGCACCTTCTGAGACCACAGATGGCCAGGCCATGATGAAGCCACAGGACCTGTACGAGGCTGTGTCCCAGGTGTCCGTGTCCAGTGAGCAGTCCGTGGTCCTTGAGGACACCCCATGGATGGGCGATAGTCCCTTGGCAACTGAAATTGACCATGGTCGTGAATTTCTTGTAGAAGACGGGACTCTTCCCAATGGCCAAAGGCCCCTGTTGGAGGAGGTGGTCCCCAGCCAAGCCAAGTCTATGACCAGTGGTATGGCCCCTGTCCCTCCCCAACCCTCAAGTTTTGCCAAGCACTCCATAGGTGGCAGTGTCACCCCAATTCTGCAGCAGCCAATCAGCTGGGGGGCCCCCAGTTCCCACTTTGTGGCTGCTAGCAGGGTCCCTAGTGTGCAGATGGGATCTGTCAAGGGCACCGGGGCCCCCTTGGCTCATCAGCAGTCGTCAGTGGCTCACATTATACCCCAGAGCCACTCCTATGGGATTCAGGCTTCTCCCACAGTCTCAGGGTCACCCAAGCCGGCCTGTGGCAGTACTGTGGCATCTAGTTTGCACCTGGGGTCTGTGGCCGGGATGGGGACCCCAAGCACTTCCAGGTCAGGTGCCTTCAGCGTGGCCTCAGCTGTGCCGCCATACCCATCCATGGCTAGCAGGGCGGCGTCTGGGGGGCTCCAGATGGAAGCTGTCCCCAGTGCACCCCGGAAGCCAGTGTCTGGGGATGTGGCTCAGAACAGTCACCACGGCTTCCTTAGCTCGAGAAAATCCTACAGGTCTGTGCACGGGAAGCTCGTTTCTGAAATGCCAGATGATTCCTTGGCCAAGATTGTGCAGGAGCAGGCCTTCAGGAGTGCCCAGGAAGGTCCTAAGTATTCCACGGGGCCCCCACTGGCCCCACCGCCCATCATCCGCACCAGCCAGGTGGCCCACAACGCGGCCGCTCCTCGGCTGCACCTGGGGCGTCGGAGGGTGTCTCTGGGCTACGAGTCTTCCCCTAGCGGCTCTCGGCGGCCCCTTTGTAGCCATGAGTCACTTCTAGGGTCTCAGGATTTCCATAGCGCCGCGGCCCCTGTAGACAGTCACAGGGCATCCCTGACTCCTGCTGTCCTCCAGGGCCCCACGGAGGCTGGCGTGGCTGGTGGCCAGGCGTGGAACTCTGCTGTCCCCAGTGTAGCAGCTGGGCCCATGAACAGTGCTGCGGCCCCCGGCGGTGTGTGGGAGCCGGCCAGGGCCACCGTGCCATGGGACGCTGTGGGAAGCCAGGTGGTGGCGGATCCCAGACAGTCGGGGGAGCTGGTGGTGTCAGTGCAGGACATGGAGAAGATAATCAGCCAGGCCGTGGTCACAATCCAGGCGTGTGCACGCGGCTACCTGGTGCGCCGTACCATCAGGGTGTGGCACCAGTGGGCCATCGTCATCCAAGCTGCCTGGCGCGGCTACCGTGTGCGGCAGGAGCTGGCCCGGCTCTCCAGAGCAGCCATCGTCATCCAGGCCACATGGCGGGGCTTTTGCACCCGCCGGGGCCGTGCCCAGCAAACGCTGCAGCCGGGCACGTGGGCCGAAATGGGTGGCGGGACCAGGACGACGTCTGACCACCGCTGCTTCCAGTCCTGCCAGCCACACGTCTGTGCCCTTTGCCAGTCGCTGAGTCCTGGACTGGGGAGCCCGCCCAGCGTGGTGATGCTTGTGGGCTCCAGCCCCCGCACCTGTCACATGTGCGGCCAAAGCTTGCCCACGCGGGTGGTGCACGGCACCGGCCAGGGCTCTTGGAGCCAGGCGGGCATGCCCTGGGACTGTGCCTCGCAGCCCGTCACCCCGAGCCTCCAGCAGTCCCACCTCCAGAACAAGGCGGCCACGACCATCCAGTCAGGCTGGAGGGGCTTCCTCGTCCGCCGCAGGCTGAGACAGCAGCAGGGAGCAGCCAAGATGCTTCAAGCCACCTGGCGCGGCCACTCTGCCCGGTCTTCCCTCACCACGGATGCACTCCTGGGGCCAGCGGCCTGGGACAACCCGCAGCACACTCAGTGGCCAGGCGTCTAGGACCTTGGCTGCCCGATGGGGGGACCCCCGGGAGGGGCCGTGTGGCTCTCTGGGTCTAATGAATAAAGCTCTCTGCAGCCTGGGTCTTGGTCCACCTGTGCTCATGGGGGCATCTTGGGCATGGTGGTGGGGGGGTTGGGGGCATCTGGAACATCCTGGATGGGAGGGCCCCCAGAGCCTCCAACCACACAGTTGATACCTGGGGGTCTGTGGCGGGGATGGGGACACCAAAACCTTCCCGGAGGTCAGGGGCTGCCAGCACGGCCTCACGTGTGCTGCCGTATCCATCCATGGCTAGCAGGGCGGCGTCCAATCGGCTCCAGATGAAAGCTGTCCCCAGCACACTCCAGAAGCCCACGTTTGGGGACCTGGCCCAGAATGGTCTCCATGAGTCCCTGGGCCCTAGAAAATCCCACAGGTGTATGCATGGCTGCCTCCTTCAGGAAATGCTGGGGGGTTCCAACCATGTCTGGATTGTGGGGGAGGCTGGGTCCACCCCTAAGAGCCCCAGTGTGGGTAAGAGAGAGCCGGACACAGACAACTACAGCCGGCGGGGGTGGGCAGGGACAGGGCAGTGAGGGAGGGAGAGGGCTGGGAGCCCCAGAGGGGGCCAGAGGAGGGGCAGGCGGCTGATGGCGTCGGTTTGGGGCAGCTGTGGAGGGGGCCAGGAGCAGTGGGGGCTGCAGGGGGAAGGAGCACTGGAAGGGCCAGGGGTGTCCTGAGGGCATGGGCAGAGTGTGAGGGCTTCAGGGTCATGGTCCAGGCGGGGTTTTTAGAAGAGATGGGGGTTAAGTGGAGAGGAGAGCAGGAAAGGCGCCTTTGGCGAACAGTAGCACCGGAGGGCCCGGCGCCCCGAGGCCCCGCCTCCGCCTCGCCCCTGCGCAGCCCCGCGCCGCCAGCAGGGGGCGCGCGCGCGCAGGTGTAAACAGAGGCACCCGGCCGCACACCTATGCGGAGCCCCGCCTTCGCCCTCCCGGCCGGCGCAGGAATGGCCGGCTTCCAGCTGCCGCCGCTTCTGCTGCTGGCTCTGGGGCTGCTGCTGAAACCCGCCGGAGATGCCTCCGCCAGCACGACAGGTAAGAAGGTGGCCCAGCTTCCAGGAGGCTGGCCGGGGCCGTACCGCCAGCCACACACCTGGCGCCCCGACCCCTCCCTCCGGCCGGGCGCGCTGGTCTGCCAGCGCCCCCACCCCAGAAGGGCTGCTCCTCCTCACAGAAGCAAGTTGGGGAGGTCGTGAGGACAGCTGGAGCCCGGCCATCCCAGCCCCCAGGCTGTCAGTTCTGTGATCCCAGCATGACCTGACAGGCGAGAGGCTGGCGACCGCCTGGGATCCAGTGTGAGTGTCCGTTTGGAGCCTCACTTTCTCTTAGCCAGCCCCCAAAGGGAGAAGGGTGAGGACCGCAGGACCATGGGGGTGGGCAGGGACAAGAGCTCACTCCCTGGTCGCTAAGCGTCTATGGCTCCCAGGAGAAGTTCTGGGTACCTGACAATTTCCTTCTGCTGCCTGGAAGATGGTTCCTGGGGTGGCGAAGAGGTGAACTTCTTGCATCCCCTCCCCTCCCCCCGAGGTATCTCTCTGACCCTGTCCCAGCCCCAAACCTTTAATGTCAGAGCTGAGGCCACCACATACAGGCAATGGCTTCATACAGAAGGTGCCACATTTATCCCCATTTCACAGCTCAGGAAACAGAGGCTTAGCAAACCAGGGCTCTCAGCCTGTGCCAGACCTGGATTAGAACCAGTCGACTTGGCTTGTACCAGCCTCCTGGTCTAGGAGTCTCTGGGCAAAGCAAACTGCTGGCACAGTGCATAGGAACAGCTCCACTTTACCTTCTTGTCAACTCTCCAGCAGCTCATGAGCACCTGCCTGCTGTGCCAGGCACTCAGTGGAACCTGTGTCCTCCACCACCTCCTTTTTCAAGGCCCACTAGTTTTCCTCAGTTCACTTTAAAAGTTCATCTCCCCAGAGTTCTGGCTTGGCTTGGGGTCCACTGTGGCCCCTGAGTCATCTTCATTTCAGCAGAAACTTATCGTCTGGATTCCTCCTCAGATGATGATGTGGGAAGCAGTTTGGGGAGGCTGGCCTCTTAGTCCTTGACTCCTTGGAGGGTCCTCTTCCCACCTTCCCAGTCACCTTGGCCCAGACTCGTTACCATTCTGAGCCTCAGTTCCCCATCTGTAACATGGAGATGAAGTCAAGCCAGTGGACCATGCCTCTTCTAGACTCATTTATCATTGCTCCAGCGCCTGGGAGATGGGACAGAGAACTGGGGGTCTGCATGTGCACCCAGCCCCCTCTCGGGGCCAGTGCTGGGTGTTATTTCCGCATTTCTACAGCTTGGGGTGAGGCAAGGGAGGAAGCACAAAGGTCCGCCCAGGGCAGAGTGGACGGGGTGTGACAGGGAGCGGTCGATGAATGAATCTGCAAGCAGCTAAGGTGCCCAGCAGGTGGGAACTGGGAAGGAAGTGATTGTGGGAGGTGGCCCACGAAATATTTACCCTCCCTCAGCCTGGCCCCTGGGCTTGGTGCCTGGGATGGGGCTCGAGCCAGGGAGTGGCTGGAACGAGGCAGGGTGGGTTTCCAGAGACTCAAACTGCTGGTTATTCCCTGAGCCCAGGCCTCTGGGCCTCCTGTTAAACTCTGAGTTTAGCCAGGGGACCTTCCAGGCACCTGGGGGAGAAGGAGGGGACTGCTCTGAGCGTGGGGGCGGGTCTGTGCCGCAGAGCATCCCTCAGCACACTGTGTGCAGGCCTGTGTGAGCCCGACGGCGCTGCCTGCCGATGATGTCCACTGGACGGACAGAGAAAGCGAGTCCCAGAAGGTTTAAAAGAGCTGCCCGCCGTGCTGTCTGGGTCCCAGCCTAGAGGGCTTCGAGAACCCCGGAGCCAGAGCGGGGGCTGGGAGGGTCTGACCGGGCTGGAGCCCTGGCTGTGGGGCTGCAGACCAGGAGTCAAGGGTGTCAATGGGGTTTCCCACCGAGCGCTCGAGTGGCACTGAATCCTCCCGGTCTCCCTAAGGGGCAGGCATTCACTATCTGGGGTCACAGGGAGAGGCATCCAGAGAGAGGCCAGGGCCACACGCCCTCCTTCCTCGTCATCTGCTCCCTGTACCCTCAGTGATATTTTCTTTCCAGCTGTTACAAGTTCTTCGATGACCTTGGAGAGTGGGACAGAGAGCACAACTCTCAAAAATCTCAGTGCTTCTCCCTCCAGCCACAGCCCCCTGACTTCAGAGACAGGCTCCAGCATCTCCCCCAGCACAGCTACTTCAGAGACAGGCTCCAGCATCTCCCCCAGCACAGCTACTTCAGAGACAGACTCCAGCATCCCCCCCAGCACAGCTACTTCAGAGACAGGCTCCAGCATCTCCCCCAGCACAGCTACTTCAGAGACAGGCTCCAGCATCTCCCCCAGCACAGCTACTTCAGAGACAGGCTCCAGCATCTCCCCCAGCACAGCTACTTCAGAGACAGACTCCAGCATCCCCCCCAGCACAGCTACTTCAGAGACAGGCTCCACAACCCCTAATGGCCCTTCAAATTCAGAGACAACCCCCACCATCCAGTCCAGCCCCAGCTCCACAAGTCCAGGGTTGGTACCCACCTCCCCACAACCAGAGACAATTACTCACCCCAGCTCTGGCTCCCCTAGTTCAGAGCTCATCCTCACCTCCCACTCCAGCACCCTGAGCCCCACTTCCCCCACCTCGGGAGCGGAGCCCTCCTCCATGCCATCGGCTGCCACTTTCAGCACCTCTGTGGCCTCTGGCCCTGGTGAGTATTGGGAGGTTGGGAGTAGGGGTCCGTGGGGGCACGAGGCTGTAGTTCTGGTATCAGCCACCAGGGGGAGACACAGACCTGAGAATATGCTGGGAAGGGCCTCTCGCCATCCCGCCAACCCTGGAATCACTTGAAGCTCTTCAGACCTTCATTCTGTGCATGTTTATTAAGCACCTACTGTGTGTCAGGTCTCGTGAGACCAAGTTATGTTGGGAGACAGGTTATAAGTAAAGTGTATGTTTGTTTATAAAAGAACAAAATACAGCAGGATAAGAGATTGGAGTGTGAGTGCAAATGGTTTGAAATTTTTAAAGAGTGTTGAGCAAAGGTCACATTTTGAAAGAGGTAGAGGAGGGAGCCATGCAGGCAGCTAGGAGGAAGGCAGCTGGGGCAGCAGGCACAGCCCATGCAAAGGCCCTGAGGTGGGACCGTGCGTGGTGTGTTTGAGGAAGAGTGACTTGGCTGGAATGGGGTGAGTGGGGTACTAGTGGGGGGCAGAGGGGCTGGGAAGGTTGCAGGGTATGACCACACAGGGCCCCAGGGGTTCAATAGAGACCAAGCATTTTTAGGGGATATAGAAAAATCTTTTGTTCAAAATAATATGTTGTCTCCAAAATGTTCAAAGGAGAGTGCAAACACGAGCCTTTTGCTTAAAGTCACAGGATATAAACTATCTTCACAAAGCTTTGCATTTCCCATGCACCCTCAGAAGGCCACTGTGTGTGGGAACAGAGTTCTAGGTTAGATTTTCCTCATGCTGCAAGCACTCCCAGGAGTGGTCAACGAGGGCAGCGAAAGCACAGTGAACTGGATGATTTCCTTGTAGACAAATATATTCCAGAGCAGAAGGATCAAAGTGGGCTTCAACAAGGTGATGGCGGCGACGGGAGAGGAAGGAGAGCGTGGCTTCCTGGGAAGGGCTGAGAAGGCTCCGGCCCTGGTGGCGTCTCAGCCTTGGGAAGGGCGGGCCCAGGGCTGACTCGGGGCTCCTCCCCTCAGCTCCGGGTGACACTGGGGCCCCCAAGTTGCACAGGAACCCGGGCGTGGTGGTGGCCGTTTGTCTGCTGGTGTCCGTTTTGCTCATCGGGTCTGTGGTGATGGCCGTGAGGTGCAGCCACCGGGGTGTGTCTGAGTTCCAGAAGCTGGAGAACATGTCCATGGTGAGCTGGGGGCTGGGCGGGGGAGGCTGCCCCCACGCAGGCCGGGCCCCTGCTGCAAAGGCCCTGTGTGTTCCTCCTGCAGGGCGCCGTGAGCCGCACGTCATCCTTTACCCGTCACCCACCGGAGTGACCCCGACTGGGCTGAGAGGGGGGCTGGGTGCCTGGGGAGGGTCGAGGCTTGTGGGAATAAAGCCCTTCTGTTCCTCGGCGGCCTCCTGAGTCATGGATTCATGTGACAAACTTTTCTGAGCACTACTACATGCTGGGGTCACAGTGGGGGCCATTTCTCCACCCTCGTGGGGCCCAGAGCCTCGAGGGGAGGACTCCAATGACATCATTTCAGGTGGCACTGAGGCCACAGATTGGGGCTGTGGCCAGACCCGGGGGCCCGGGTGTCCAGGTTTGCTGGGGGCAGGGAGGTCTCTCTGGGGAAGGCGATATTTGAGCCGAGGCCTGAAAGGTGGGCAGGCGCTGCCTGGGGACAGCCAGGGAGGGTGTCCCGGGAAGCAGGCACAGCGGCGGTAGGAAGGACTCGGGATGAGCAGGGTCGGGGGTGAGGGCAGGCTGTGGGAAGGAGCGTGGGTTTTACCGGAACACTGTGGCCAGTTTCCAGCCAGCAGGCATCAGAGCCTGGTCCATCTTCCTTCTGGTCCTCGGGAGGCAGAGCCCTGGGCAGGCTCTCCGGGGGGCTGGGCCGGTGGGGCAGGGGCTTGGAGGCCGCCAGGGGCCGGAAGCCTGCAGAGGCTGGGAGACAGGACAGCCCCATCTCAGTCTTGAGCCCAGCCCGCTCTCTCCCTCCCACTGCACAGGAGGGAAAGCTGAGTCCAGGAGGCCAGGCCTGGGGCTGGGGCCCCTCGGCGGGTGGGCTCTTCCTGTGCCTAACCCCCCAGGGCCTCCCAGCGTCTCTAGCAGAGCAGTCTAGAGGATCTCAGCCGTGCCCCTTGGCCACGACTTGGGCCTGGAGAGGCTGACGTCAAGGTCACCCAGCACAGTAGGGTGAAGGCCACCCAGGGAGGGTCATGCTCCAATGATTCCTGGGGGCAGAAGGAACGGCGGGGCCTACCGTGCAGGTGGCAGCTCTGGTGAAACATGAACTCTCGCTGGTTCAAGAGGCAGCAGCACCACGCGGGCCTCTGCTTCCTGGCCACAGGGCTCCCCCACAGCCCCCCTGCGAACGCTGGCTTCCTGCTGCAGCTTCAGCCCCCGCTGTTTGTGGGGAGGGTGTTGACTAGAGAGGGTCGTCGTCGTTCTGCCTGGGGCACACAGCATGATGGGCAACTTTCCTGGAGCCTCCAGGGACCCCCAAGGGCCACACCCAAACTGCTGTGGCCGCACCTTGTGGGCTCTCTTATGAAGCGCTGTCCCAGACCAAGCTGGTAAAATTCTCCCATTTTACCCCAAAGCTGCGCCTCTCTCTGTTTCTGTCTCTCTCTCTCTGTCTCTCTTTTCTCTCCCTCTCTCTAGCACTCTCTCTGGCTCTCCATGTTTCCATCTCTCTCCCTCTCTCATAAGCAAACACAGGAACAATTAACACCCCCCCACCCAATACACACACACACACACACACCTGGTCGTGCTCCTGGCCATTCTCTGTCTCACACCCATCTCTGGACACGTTCACACCCTCCTGGTCACTCTGCCTGCCATCTCCCTGCTGGGGCCTAAGGATGGCATGTGGTGGCCTGGCACTCAGAGTTAAGGGGCCCTGCTGGGGGTACCCTGGGCCGTCCTCTTGGGCAGGGCGGGTCCTCCACTCCCCCGCTCCCAGGGCAGCCACGGGGCTCAGGACTCAGTGGTGGCAGTGGCTGTCAGGCCTGCCCGGGCCTCACAGAGCCTGTGTGAGTTTGGGGGTTCTCAGGCGGTGGTCTGGGGTCCCTGAACCTGGCAGGGCTGCACTGGGAACTGAAAGAATCCCCCTGGGGCCTGGGGCCTTGTTCCCGGGGGAGCTGATGCTCCCAGGCCGCTAACGCTGGTAGGGAGCAGGGAGGGGCTCGGGGGGCGTGCGCGGGCGCCGGGGTCCCTGTAAAGGTCTGGCTGGGTGGGTGTCTCACACGGGTGCCTGTGGTGTGGCCCAGGCTACCTTGGTTGAGTGTCTGTGGGCTCCAGGAGAGGGTGCAGGACATGGAGTGAGCCCCTATCTGGGGGGGTCTCGCAGGGGAAGAGCTGGGCTCCCGGGGTGTGAGGGTCTCACATCCGTCTCCCCAGGTTCAGAGACGTCTATGGCATGAGGTGCAGCAGATCAGCGCTCTCCTTCCTGCTAAGCGAAGTGAGTGGTGGGCTGGGCTTGCCTCGGCCTGGCCCTGGGGCAGGGGTCCCACGCCTCGCTACTTGGAAACACCCAGAACTGCCTGGGGACTGGCTTACAGATGGGGAAACTGAGGCCCAGAGAGGTCACCAGGAGTCTGGGACTCGATCCAGGTGTCCAGCCCAGGGCTGCAGCCAGCGATTTTGAGGGCAGGCGACCAGCAGGGGCGGGGGGGGGGGGGGGCACCAGGGACCCCTCAGGCCTAGACACAAGGCTTTGATTGCCAAAGGAAAGTGGGCCTGGGGCACGGAGGGCCAGAGGCCACACCTTCAGGGCAGGGCTAATGGCCCCATTCTGGGAAACTGAGGCAGGAGAAAAACACAGTAGTGAGCAGGGAAGCTGGCAGGAGCTGGATCTCACTCCCAGGTGGGTCACCGAGGCCTGAGTGGCAGGTGAGCTCTCTGGGACTCTGTTTGCTTGTGTAAAGAAATGGGCTCAAACTGTGTGGATTGAGAGAGGTCAGGGTGAGCTGGTCCCCTGCCACGGGCAAGTCCTACATGCGTTAGCTGGTTTGTCATGCCCCAGATGTCCGCGGGAGGAGGAGGAGGGCGGCCCCAATTGACAAGTGAGGAAACTGAGGCACAGAGAGGCTGGCACCCCCTCAAGGTGAGTGGCCGAGCGAGGTGTGACCCTAGGCCTTTGGGAGGCTTGTCCGGGCTCTGAAGCCCTGCCATTGGGCTGAGCCCTCATTGCCGCCACTGCCGGGGACCTTCCCCATGTGGTGTGTGGCGTGTGGGAAGGCGCTGGTTGGGCAGCCTGGGGAACCAGGTGGACGGCTCCCTCCCCGAGCTCCACCTTCCTCCTCTGTAAAGTGGGGCCCCCCGGCGCTCCCCCAAACACTCAGTTTACAAACACTTGCATCTGGAGCCCTTCCTTGTGCACCTGCGCTGGGCACGGGGCACACGGGGGGCACTCAGGAATGAAACCCCAGGCCCCGCCTGCCTGGCACTCACAGGGTGGGGAGGCAGGTCGTAAACCCAGAAAAAGGCAGGCGGCTGCCGGGCCGGGCAGGAGGGGCTTCTCTGAGGGGTGACATCTGAGCTGAAGAGTGGATGAAAGCAGCAGCCAGCCTGGGGAGAGCTGGGGCGGAGCTCGGGCAGAGGTCCCCACGTGGTCTAGGAGCAGCGAGGATGAGGCGGTGGGGCTGGGGCCGCTGCGCCAGGGAATGGAGAGAGGTGCGAGGCGGCAGCGGGAGGCCCAACACGTGGGGTCTTGGGGGCTGCGCGGAGGGCATGGGTTTCGTTCTAGGGGTGCTGGAAGCCCCGGGAGGGTTAGGAGCAGCCAGGGGCAGGTTCAGGGTTTGTCTTAGAGGCAGGACTTGGAGTCGCAGCCAGGGATGGGCAAGACGGACGACTCTGAGCCTCTCTCCTGCCCTTCCCCCCAGGGCCTCCGTCCCCACGCCAGCCTCTCACCCAGGGAAGCAGTTAGTCTGGAGTGGCAGGCTGACTGAGCCCCCCCCCCCCCGCCCCCGTCCTTACCCCACCCCCGCTCCGAGTCGAGGAGGCAGCGGGGCCGGGCCGGGCCGGGGAGTCAAGGTTTGCTGAAGGCCTCCTTGTACAACCCGTTGCAGGTGTTGTCAACTGCTCCCCACAGGGCCTGTCTTGTCTGCCAGGCCCCCCCCAGCCCAGACCCAAACATCCAGCTGCCTCCCTGGCACCCCCTCAGGGTCACGTGATGCCCAAACCAAGCCCAAATTTGCCCAGATTCTGGTTTTTCCCCCCCAAATCTTCCCCATCTGGGTAATGGTGGCTCCATCCACCCAGGTGACTGTGTGGCTACTAGTTATCTGGGGAACCACTAGTCATCCATAATAATCACTAGTTATCCTCGAATCCCCTTGAACACCGCACAGCTATGGCCTGTCTCTGAGCCTCCAAAACATGTCCCAAAGCCACCTGTAGATGCCCCGGGCCCTGTCCTACCCAGATGCTGCCCCAGCCTCTGCCCTGCACCCCCCTGCCATGGTCCCTGCCCCCTGAGGCAGGCAAGGAGACTTCTTAAAACCGTACAGCCAATCACATCCCTTGAAAGCTCTCAGTCCACTCCCGGAACCACTTCCAACTCCTCCCTCACCCTTGAGGCCCCGCGTCAACTCCCCAACTCACTCCCGCACTCCGCTCCAGCCTCCCTGCTGTTCCTCAGATCTGCCAGTTTGTTCCCACCTCAGGGCCTTTGCACATTCTGTCCTCTCTGTCTGGTATGCTGTTTCCCTAGCTCTCTGCTGGCCACCTCTTCACAAGGGCCCCTAATTACCCTCAGCAACATTATCGCTCCCCCATAACTCTCCAGGTTCTTACACAGTTGGCTTCATTTTCTTTCTAGCACTATGCAAACTATCTTTGTCTATTTGTTAAATGAATAAGTGAGTGACTATGAATGTGAGCAAGTGGTTTTCCCACCTGGAACTCAGTTTCCACATGCAGAAAACGGGCAGGTGACATCTCAGTGGGCCTTCTGTTCTGGGAGGAGCCGCTGTCTCCACACACCCTACTCTCTGCCCTTCCTGCACGTCCTCCCAGCCGCTGGGGACCCTCCCACTGGAGGCCTGTGGGGAGCTGAGATTTCTGCATTAGAATTCAGCTGCCCCTGGGAGAGGGTGGGGACAGTCCTGTTCAAATGGGGAGGACAGTCAGGTATCCTGGGTCGTAGAAGGATCAGATCTGTGCAAACAGCTGAGAGGGGATGAGTGAGCGACCCCTGGCTGTGTGACCCTCAGCAGGTGATTTCCTTTCCAAACTTTAATATCCTCCTCATGATGCGAGAATAAGAGGACCGACATCATGAGGAAGGAAGCGGGCTGAGCAGTGCGCCCTGTGCTTAGTAGGGGCTCAACTGATGTGCATTACACACATACACACGCACACGCACACACACGCCCCGCCCTGGCTCTGGCCCTGATTAGCCGGTGGTCTTG